AAGCTGAAGTTGGGTGTGTGGTCCACTTTGTCAGCGCCTACTGTCAACACGCTAGTGTCTATACTTCACAGTGACCCAGTACCTCACAGTGACCCAGTACCTCACAGTGACCCAGTACCTCACAGTGACCCAGTACCTCACAGTGACCCAGTACCTCACAGTAGCCCAGTACCCCACAGTGACCCAGTACCTCACAGTAGCCCAGTACCCCACAGTGACCCAGTACCTCATAGTAGCCCAGTACCTCACAGTAGCCCAGTACCCCACAGTGACCCAGTACCTCACAGTAGCCCAGTACCCCACAGTGACCCAGTACCTCACAGTAGCCCAGTACCCCACAGTGACCCAGTACCTCATAGTAGCCCAGTACCCCACAGTGACCCAGTACCTCATAGTAGCCCAGTACCTCACAGTAGCCCAGTACCCCACAGTGACCCAGTACCTCACAGTAGCCCAGTACCCCACAGTGACCCAGTACCTCACAGTAGCCCAGTACCCCACAGTGACCCAGTACCTCACAGTGACCCAGTACCTCACAGTGACCCAGTACCTCACAGTGACCCAGTACCTCACAGTGACCCAGTACCCCACAGTGACCCAGTACCTCACAGTAACCTCACAGTAACCAGCCAGTTGCTTAGTTTGTGCTTCTGTGTTCTGATTCATGTTTTAAATTTTTGTGTTCACGAAGTTTGACTGGAAAACATCTTTTCATTAGTCCATCTTTTCTTGTAATAAACCAAAGTCTCGTCTCCTTAATAATCATATTTGTGTCAGGAAGTGTATATGAAGTTACTGCCTCTGCTGTCACGGTCTTCTTCATTTAGTTTAATGAAGTGTTGCTATAGATCTCTGTGGCTCCTCTGTGGCTCCAGCCTCGCCCCTGGCACTCTCTTCTAGTGTTATTCATGATGAATAACTGGTGATTATTCACGGTATCATCATCTTGTATGATTATTTATGATTATTTGATGATATATATTTCCCCTTTGTAAACATCGCAAGGTTTTAATTTTAGCTGTTGTTGGTGATAAGCTGGATAATATATATGTAAAACCCTCATCATGTTGTTCTTCAACCACTCAACCCTGTCTGACCCTCTTCACACCTCTTCCCTCTCTGACACTCTTCACAACTCTTCCCTCTCTGACACTCTTCACAACTCTTCCCTCTCTGACCCCCGCCACAACCCACTCCTCCAGTGCTCATTTAGTGGTGTGACTCTCGCTAAGGTCAATACTTGTTTTGACAGTCCACCTTCCCCGATCAGATATTTAGTGAGCGGATTGTATGTGTGTGTGTAACCGCCTATTTGTGCCTGCGGGGGATGATCTTTGGCTCTTTGGTCCCGCCTGTCAACTGTCAATCAACAGGTGTACAGATTCCTGAGCCTACTGGGCTCTATCATATCTACACTTGAAACTCTGTATGGAGTCAGCCTCCACCACATCACTTCCTAGTGCATTCCATTTACTAACTACTCTGACACTGAAAAAGTTCCTTCTAACGTCCCTGTGGCTCATGTGGGTACTCAGTTTCCACCTGTGTCCCCTTGTTCGCGTACCTCCAGTGTTGAATAGTTTATCCTTGTTTACCCGGTCGATTCCCCTGAGGATTTTGTAGGTTGTGATCATGTCTTCCCTTACTTTTCTGTCTTCCAGTGTCGTAAGGTGCATTTCCCGCAGCCTTTCCTCGTAACTCATGCCTGTTAGTTCTGGGACTAGTCTAGTGGCATACCTTTGAACTTTTTCCAAATTCGTCTTGTGCTTGACAAGGTACGGGCTCCATGCTGGGGCCGCATACTCCAGGATTGGTCTTACATATGTGGTGTACAAGATTCTGAATGATTCCTTACACAGGTTCCTGAACGCTGTTCTGATGTTAGCCAGCCTCGCATATGCCGCAGACGTTATTCTTTTTATGTGGGCATCAGGTGACAGGTTTGGTGTGATATCAAATCCTAGATCTTTCTCTCTGTCCGTTTCATTAAGTACTTCATCTCCTATTCTGTATCCTGTGTCTGGCCTCCTGTTTCCACTGTCTAGTTTCATTACTTTGCCTTTACTCGGGTTGAACTTCAACAGCCATTTGTTGGACCATTCACTCAGTCTGTCCAGGTCATCTTGTAGCCTCCTACTATCATCCTTTGTTTAAATCGTCCTCATAATTTTTTGCATCATCGGCAAACATTGAGAGAAACGATTCTATACCCTCTGGGAGATAGTTTACATATATCAGAAACAGTATAGGGCCTAGGACTGACCCCTGCGGGACGCCACTTGTAACGTCCCTACTATCTGAGACCTCACTCCTCACACTGACTCGTTGTCTCCTGTTGCTTACTCCATTGGTACTCCTTTGGATAATGGAGTAACTTCCCTTTCATTCCAGCCTGCAACTCCAGCTTTTTCAATAGCCACTTGTGTGGAACTGTATCAAAGGCTTTCTGACAATCCAAAAATATGCAGTCTGCCCACCCTTCTCTTTCTTGCCTTATTTTTGTTACCTGGTCGTAAAATTCAAGTAACCCTGTGAGGCAGGACCTGCCATCCCTGAACTCATGTTCAGGGAACTCGAAATTATGTGTGTGTGTGTGTGTGTGTGTGTGTGTGTGTGTGTGTGTGTGTGTGTGTGTGTGTGTGTGTGTGTGTGTGTGTGTGTGTGTGTGTGTACTCACCTAATTGTACTCACCTAATTGTGCTTGCGGGGGTTGAGCTCTGGCTCTTTGGTCCCGCCTCTCAACCGTCAATCAACTGGTGTACAGATTCCTGAGCCTATTGGGCTCTATCATATCTACATTTGAAACT